AAATTGCAGTTTGCGTTTTTTCGGCGCATGGCGAGAAGCATTGATAGGTGGCGTTTCAGTTACTTAGGTTGGTTGCGTGGGATTTCGCCTGCTGGAAGACGAAGAAGAAGAAGAAGCAGAAGACGTCTGCTGCTGCTGGGGTGAGTTATTGAAAAAAATATCCGGTTTCAAAGGGGTTTTGAGCCCTCATAAAACCGGATATTTTTCTGTTTAATCTGGCGATTCAATCAACTCATTATTGCAGCTACTGATGAACGTCACAAGAGTGATAAAGCATCATTTCATAAAATAAAATAAAATAAATAATAAGAATTTTCTATGTCAAACTTCTGAAAATAGAAAAAAAACCAAACAGGTCTGTTTTAACTTTTTAAATTTTTTTATATAAATTAAATTTATTCAGCGTATATGTTCACTGATTCAGGTATCTGCTGGGTCATTTGGTGTGTTTCAGCTTTTGCTTTTAGATGGTTTTCACTGCAGGGTGATAAATTTGATAGTTTTGATTATCCGCTCACGCTCACGTTTTCAACTGTAAAAAAAGAAAAGTCACCAATGAAGCTTAGAGAATACCGTAAAATAAATCGCCCGAAATAAGCTGTTCACTGGCTGGGTGAATCATTCATAAATTGTCTCTTGGCTGATACGGGTGATTAAAATTATCGCTACCCAACTATGTACACGCTTGAAAGTGATACTGGCTTTTTTGATGATTTTCGTGATATTTCTTCAGCAGAAAAACGTAAAGTCAGAGTTGGAAAAAACATTCGAAAAAATAGGTACCTATAATACACTAAAATTGTATAAAAAACCGACGAAGAGGTGTTCAAAATGAATCAAGCAGTTACTTTGACGACGAAAAATTTTGATTGTTTAGCAGATAATTATTCAAAAGTGAAAAAAAAATCAAAGACTCAACTGCTGAAAAGGTTTCAACTTCCACAACAGGAAACCATAAACCTCAAAAACGACGATACAAACCAAAACGATCAGTTTACTCCAAAAAAGACTGTAACAGTGACAACGGAGACGATAAAAAAGAAGATAACTCTAACTCTAACAAAAAAATTTGTGTGTCATGAGTAAATTGAAAAATACCATTTGTATATTTTTAATTATCACAATGGTTAAAACATTGTATGAAAAATCGCCGGAATACTTTAAACAAGGTCGGAAAAACTTTAATTTTTTTTCTGAGTAATGAACCCGACGTCTCTGACTTTCCTTCTAATACAAACTTTGCATTTGCAGTCCATTCAAATCAGAACTATTTTTGTTACCAATCTCTTACCAATGGCCAGCCACATTGCCACGTTCCTATCGAAGTTACAGAAAAATGCATTGAAGCAGTTAACTAGATGACCTTAAATTATTTCATTGTGCCTTTTGATTATGAAGTGCAGCAAATATCATCTATCAGGACCACCGATAAAAAAAATAAAATGGCTGTAAAGTACATTTCGACTAACAACCTTGACACCGTCGGAGTTTCCTTGCAAAAACGACTGCCGCAGATTGCCGCTTTGCATCATAGACTCGATTCATTTAAACTCCAACTGATCTAATTACTAATGTAACCATTGAACGTTTTTTAAGAATATTGAATGAGGTTAAGGCTGCTGAAATTTCAAAAATCATTGATATTAATTTGAGTGGGCATGGTCGTTTAGAGATTGATTCAATAAATATATTTGATAAATTTATGATGGAGAAGAAATTCAGATTCTTTGAAATTTTTGTAGAGCCTGAGATAATTCCAGCAGTATGTGTTCTAGCAAACATAAAACATGTTTTAAAAAATTCAATTATGAATCGTTAAAGAAATGCATCAGTATCACAAAGTTATATCATCATATGTTAAGCCAAACGCATCATGTCAAGGTCGTTAACCTTGAAACCTATAAGAAATTAAGATGAAATTACAACATGAGCAACAAAAATACAATAAAGTCCATAGAAGACCGAGTTAGCTGATTGGATTGGCTTAATCAACAGTATTTGTTTTCCCTCATGGATAGAACGTATCATATTTTTGTATACATTTGGATAGTTGTGTAGGCTTTGTCCAAGAGGATCTGCAAAAAAGATTTGACCACCAGCTTCAGCAAACATTAACCATTGAGTTTCTGGCTGGTCTGAGTTTGATTCGTTCACTATCATGAAAGAATTGTCGCTTTTCAATATTGTATTAATTGCTAAGTTAGCAGGAAAAACGCCGTGAAATTGATGTTTCATATGCTTGCATCGGTTAATAAGCTCAGTAATCTGCAAATTGTCCATTTCTTCCGATTCAATTCATTAGAGTGTTTTTAATTTTTTTTCTCTATCGGAAAGCACGTAAACTATTGATGCACGCTCTCCCATGAAAAGTAACTCCTTAATTTCCCCAGCGGTGCATCAAATTTCAGTTTTACTGAAATGGTGCAATTGATCAATTAAGGATGAATAAAATCATCTGAAGCCTCATGAGTAGATGTGAGATCAAATGTCATATTACAGTGATTGAGAAAATTAGCCACACTACTTCCATGACTATTGTTAAAAACAAAATCTAGAGCTTCTAATGTGTTGTAATGTATTTTTTTGTTATCAGCCGGTGACACAGGAAATCCTGCAATGAGTAAGCCGTTTCGGTAAACAATGATTTCTTTCAGATGAAACTTTTGATAATGAAACGGGTTTGTTCGTTTAGTACACAGGTATACTGTATTGGAGCTCATTGCAGAAATCATTCGACGAACTGGCTCTGTGGCAAAAACGTCTTCTTGTCGCCAGCTTTGCACATCAGTTGTGGCTAAAAATCTTTAGTTAAATCTTTAATATAAGTGTGTATTGCGGGTGTTTTCAACAGAGTTTTTTCTATCGATGATGGTACAAAGCATGTAACTGTCATTTTGCGCACAGATAGGTAAGACTCATTGATTTGAACTTGATAATGTTTAGTAAGATACTCGGGCATAATAATGAGGTCAATAGGAGATCGTCTCAGAGAAAGTCTTATTCTAACACCGCTGATAAGATGTTTGTCAACTAATAAAAACTCACAAGCAATTTTACCAAGCAAACGGAGTTCGCTTGATGCAGCTACGCTTCACTTATGTTCCGCAGCATCTTCAGCTCGCCCATTAGTACCATCAATACCTGATGGATTATCTTCATAATAATAGCCTTGACAAGCAAGCCATGTTTTCTTTGCATCATTACCGTGCGAAAATAAGGTCTCAATGAAACTCTTATGAGCAAAATTGGCATTAGTTGTTCAAATTTTTTCTCCATTCAGGGACATAGTGCATTCGGAAAATAAAGATAAAAGTGGATTTTTAACCAAATATGGGTTGTCTCGTTGCGCTGCCTCTGTAGCATGAGTTCGAAGTACTTTACCATTATTTTGAACAATGCGTGCTACAATGCGTCCAAGCGAGTCCGTTGAAGATCGATAAAGTTGTTTCTATCTCCCAAAAACTTCAAATTCGAGCATGGGACCATCAGATGAATTAGATTGACCAACTTTTTGAGTGAATGCATTTTCAAATGCAACGAATAGAGGAGGCTTTTCAAAGAAAATCTAATGAGCTGTATGTTGCTTCATAGGGTAATAATTTAGTAATCATTTCGTTCTTTGGTAAAAAAAAATTGGAACGACTTCTCAGTAGAATTCGTTTCTTTGGAATGAGAAGTTTTGTTTTTCTGTTTGTTGTTATTGTTGTCTTCCGTTTTCTGCTCATACGGGACTTGCTGCGTCCAGCTCCAACTTTTTTTTATTGTGTTTCTTACTGTGTTTTTCAAGGTTTGTTTCGGCAATTTTTTTCCTGGTTTCTATATCTCTTAATTCGGGTGCCGCTTGAACAAGTAATTCTTTTCCAATACGTTTTGCTGCTGGTACTATGATTTTCCGAGCTATCGGAAGTTCTACTGGTCCAATACTTATAGCCAGAGCACCGAAGACACTACGGCGCTCTCTGTAATGTCATGAGAAGTGAGACATGGTCGCTTGATTATGATAGTTTGCCTCCATAATCTTATTCAGAAAACGTTTGAAATTTTAAAGTCAAAATAAATTTTCCTCCTCCCACAAATGGCACAAGTCTACCGCTGCTACATAGACTTTAAAAAGCAGTCGAACCATTGAGGCTTTCGCCCTGATACGAGCAGTATTTTTTGTAAACAGTTAATTTTTGGCAATCAAAATGATATTTTCTTTGAAGATATCGACTCCCTGAAACTAATGTTCAAAAGATAGTTTACCTCCGAGCTTTTTTTTGTCAAGTTCTGAGAGTTTCAAGTTAATCTTGCCAATTAGGCCATCCTCTGGAACAATTTAGGCAAGCTTTGAAATTTTCTTTCTTAATCCGGAAAAGGCAACGCGATTTATTGGGTGGCGAATCATCCCGCACAACAAAGCCGTTCCAAACTTAGTTGAGGCTAGCTAATCACTCCTAGTAATTTCGTAATCTAAACTATCACCTAAAATTTGTTCGCTATGGATTAAGGGGCAGCCAAAAGACTCAGGGCAGATACAGCAAAGCAAAATATGAATTCTGCAAACAAAATTTAGAAGCGCTCATAAATTATTATTATTTTTGCATACACATTTTTGTGGCGCTTGATAAGTGTTTAATTGCATCAAAATACGTGACTTTTTTTTACAGAAGATCAGTTTGAAAACACATTAAATTAACATCACAGAGCGAAGCTTTATCTCTCTCTCTCTCTCATTTCACAAATCAAATCACAAGCCTCGCAATTAATTGAAATGTATCAACTTTGATAGCAAAACGCTGTCGCACAATCTCCGAGACGTATGGGTCTCAGCTAAACCGTTCTGATTCTGGGTAGTTTTTTAAGGCATTTACTTCTAATTCAAAATACTTTGACTGCCTATTTGTTGCAATGGAAATAAAAGTGATTTTTTAATTAGTTAGAATTGATCTTAATTTATACAAAACTGTCGATTTTTATAACTGTATATTTGAACTGGTAATTGAAAGTTAGAGAAAAATTTATTGATTGGACATGATACTGGTTGATATCCAATCCTTTGAGTGTGGAATACTGGTGAAGTCGGCTTGACCTTTGCAGTCTATCAGTGGACTCTCATCTTTCAAGGTCGGAGTTGCTATTCCCAGGAGACAAATAGGTTTTTTTGTCTCACAATCTCTGAGAAACAGAGGACTACCATCGTCGTTGTGACACAACCCAGAGCCTCTCACAGTAGTCTCAGTGCATACCAGACCCGGAGGACAAAAATCAAACTTCAGCCAAGAATCAATGAACTGAAATGGAGATGTCTTGAGGGTTATTTCGCGAAGAGAGGTTGCTGGAGTGAGCGGACTTTGACTCGTAGACCCGACACCAACAGCTATGACATGAGTGTCAAAAGAGGCTGGATTTTCCTTGCACATCTCGATGACGCGGAACTGAGGCAAAGTTTTTTGAAGCTTAATAAGAGCCAAGTCATTCGTATGATGGTTTTGATCGAAACTAAACAAACAATTTATCGTGTGAATATAATTCGAAACATCTTTTTTAAATTTGAAAAGTAAAAAAATTAACACAACGGAAAATCAACCGTTTTGACAAAATATGTACAGTATATTGTATCCCATTTAATATCAAAACATGAAAACGAGTTGGAGCTTTTTGCTTTTATACGAGTTCTCCTTACATATATTTTCCACGTGACCTTCCTTTTTACAGCATTTTTTGACAAAAAACTGGAAATTGGATAACTTTTAGTTTTTTCTATGATTGCTAATTCTTATGGTTCTGTACTATAACCAAAAAAACCATGACCACTCATAAATGGGTTTATTTTCGTTAGAGATTATTTTCGTTGTGATTAATTTTCTTCAAAAGTTTTTCACAGAGCAATCTGAGCCCAAAGATTTTGCGTAAGTAACTTGAAAAAAAAAAACTGCCACTTTTTCTCTTGCGACTAACACGCTGAATGAAACAGATTTGCTTTTCTTAAAAATGTTTTTTTTTAACTTAAAAAAAGTTAATAATAAAAGTAAAAAATTTCTGCCCAGAATTTTCTCAGTTTCCGATAAATTTTCGCAAACATCTTCCTCTTTGATGAAATCTACTAAAGCGGGTGCAAAAATAGATTAAATTTTAGTATTTCAATAACCCATAAAATATTTAAAAACTTAGATATCTTAGCTACTGCTGAGTTTTTTCGATCTGCAAAGGTAGTTAATTGCTGTAATAACCCCTTAAAAAACTTTCGAATTCTTGGTATCACAATGTTAACGTGAAATTGAGAGGTAGTCAGCATCACTTAAATTTTTTTTTCATTCACGAGAAGTTGTTATTAAAAAATTAATCTAGAGTCGAAAAATCAAGGTACTATTTTTTACGAAAGCGTTCGAAGGGGGCCGACCAAACACTTCGCTACAACGATCAACTTTGTGTTGATGAGCGGTTGAGTTCAGTTTTTGCACCGGCTTTTTTGGGCTTAATGTGGTTTTTTTTAGATTAATTTCAAGATTTCAACTGGCCATCTTTTGAACGAAGTTTTTTAAACAGTTATCGGAATCAGATTTTGTTACTCTTAAGTTTCGCACAAAAATGATCAGAAAAAGTTAGTGTTTAGCAGGAGTTATCGCTTGGAAGCTCATGAGCTAAGCCTTAGCAAGTTGACACTGATATAACTTTTGTTGTCAAAAAATTATCTTTTTCAAGTGATATAACGTTTCACTATAGCAGTTAAACCATTTACTCTTCAGGTAATTTTTGTTAAATAAATATGATGAGCAGATGCACTTAGATCTGAATTGAGAAGTGCAGTACGACACAGCAGACTGATTTATTGTTTAGTAACAATACTCTTATCAGTTCAATTGGCGACAGGATTATTCTACTTCATGATATTTTGTTTGACTCTTAAATATATTTTTTGAGAAATTCTAAACTAGTATTTATAAACCAGTTATATTATTGATAAAACTATCTCTATAAAATATTACCAACTAACCAGTCAAACTCTATCGCTAACCTTGACACTTATTTGTAAGTGCTGGAACTACATGTAGTTTCAGCACCAGAACAATTTGAATAAATCTTAGACTACAGCTGTTCTCCTTCTGGATAAACTCCAAGAACTAACCAGCAAATCCAGTATACGCTAGATCTATTGAGAATACGAGATTTAAGATTAAGATTAAGGTTGTTATTAGACTAAGAAGTTGCACGAACCTATCCGGCCAAAAATAAGATAGCGTGACGAAAAGACGGTGTACCTTATCTGAAATTACTCTATGTGTACAATACCTTGCACATAACTCATCTGGTGCGACCAAATGTCTCGAACAAGACCTTAACCAAGTTAGAATTAGACAATTAGAATAAGAGCTAGACAATTGTAAAATTGCAAAATGTTAGATGGAATAGACAATTTAGTAGAAATGTCTCTACGTCTCAAAAAATCTACGCCAAAATTTTAATTCACACGAGAGATACCAGGTATTGCAAGAAGATCAAGATCAAGATGTGAACAACGATTAGGAGATGGAGCGATCTACTACACGATAGTATGACGAAAACCGGAACAATTATTTGTATTCAGAATACTTTATGTAGTAAATTTAATTTTTCTTTCATTAACATGAAAACCATTTGAAGAGCATTTCTTCAAGAACTTATTTGGAGCTATACCTAATATTTAAAGTAAAATCACTAATAAAAAGAACAGAAGTCGTTCTTTTCAAAATCTACAGTAAATAAAATTTTTGAACAAATAATTTATTGAATAATAAAAATACAAAAAATTAGTTAGTATGAACAATTATCGCTAATTTCATTATATTAAAAACAAACAAATGTTTTCTTCATTCCAGCTTATTTACCCAAATTATAACTAAATAAATTCAAGGAAATAATATCATTTAAAATCTAACTCTCGAATCTTTTTTAACTTAAATTTCTACAGAAGAATTTGTCAAGGCTTATCCTTGCATTTCAGTAATTCAATTTTTATTTCATAAACAGATCATCAAGGCTTTTCTTGGATCTTTATTTTCACATAAGTTATTTTTTTTTCAATCAATTTTTTTTATCATCATGGCTTCCCTTGGATCAATCTGAACAACTTTGGTCTTTCCAATCCATAAATTAAAGTGTCTAACGACCTCAAACGTCAGTTCACTCCCCAACCCTTATAAAGACTCAAGATTAGCAGAATTTTTTGACGAACAACTAACCATTCTAATGAAGATAGACAGTGAAGAACTTATGTTCTTCATCCTTCACTCTCAGATGACCCAGGCTAAAACCCTTAACAATATTAGTAACTTTTAGAATAGTATCTTATGTTCAACTTCTGTTCTAATTATACCTGAACCTTGTGGGTTGATTAACTTTTATCCAACTTTTGAAAACAAATGAATCCCCTAGGTAAGATCAAGTAAGTTTATCATAAATAAGATCTAGTCACGAGATAATTAAAATGAAACTCACGAATTGATATACTCTCTCTCCAACCCATCAACCACCACAATCTATGACCCAAGTTAAGAAAACCATAATTGTTTAATTTAAAAACAAAAGATATGATCTTGTAATCACACCCCAAAGGAAAAAATTGGATACATCAGATCAAGAAGACAAACACGAAAAACGACAATAATAGCAAAACAAAAACAAATTATCCAGAACCAGATACAAATACAATACAGGAACTGCAAGACCTGAAAGATTCAATGAACAAAAGTAACCCGATAGAAAATCAAAACGTTTTTTTTTCTGACTTCAAAACTACATCACCATCAACAATCAAAGGAAAACGTAGAAATAAAAAATCATTCATTAATAAACAAGTACGACTGTACAATTAGAATTAACCAAAAATACACATTGAAAGTTACACACTAACAATTTTAAGACACAAAAAAAAGATAGAATGAGACACAAATTTTGACGATAACTCAAAACTTCTCTTCATTATTCGTCCACAAAGTGATCCCTCTCGAAGACAATACAGTTTTGCCACAACTTTAACAAACCTTTATTCGAAAAAGGAAATAACCTATGCAAACAGGATTTTCTTGAATAAAGAAAAAACGACAAAATATTGATCAATATTCCAAAAGTATATGTAATAATACTTCATCTTACGGTATATTCAAAATTGAAATCGTACAACCAGAATCAAACTAAACAATGCATCGAATACAACCAAATCGAATTCTAAAAAGCCTTCGCAGAGTTCATAAAAATTATACAACATCAAAATTTACAAAGAGCAAATTCAATATTCACAAATGAAATTTTTTCTATTTTTTGTATAGTTAAAAATCTATATTAGATTAACAAGAAATTCAAATCGAGTCACCGTTTCAAACATCCCGATACTCGACTGTAAGACCAGAAATCTATGTTTTCTCGAAACTCCTATATACAGTCCGTGAAAACCTTACTAGTTAGGATATTTCACAAAATGTGAACTATGACCTACAAAAAAGCTAGCATGGTTAATAATTGATTATTTTTGCCATAACGATGACTTCATTGCACTTTCAAGAAAAAAATTCCGACCACAAACTTCAGACAACAAAGTTCGGACCCTGATTGGTCTCATCCCTGAGTTATTAAAACAATCACCGACACATCAAGGGCAGCAATTACCACTATTTCTGTACCTACAGGCTATGAAAAAATAACTCCACTTACAATTGACTCCACACCTTTAAAATATATATTATAATGCAATACTTACTGAGAGAACAAGACAAAATAATGTACATTTCACGTTCAATAATTCACAAGAATTTCTTTTTTGAACAAGAAATCTTACACAACAAAATATTCAAACCCATCACATTTTATTAATGAAGAATTAGTTAAAGCAATGCCGACAAAAACATAACAAAGTAATTCTCCGAATCATCCCACTTTTACAACACCACATAATAAAAACAGTACGTTTTGTCAGACTACCCTACAATCCACATTAAAACCTTCTGTTGCCCCAAATAGTTCATGAATGACTCATCAAATATTTAGACCAGTAACAAAATCACGACAAACAAATAAACGAAAACACCCAATAGAAAAAAATTTCCGACCATAACTACAATTTTTTTTACAAAAAAAAACAAAATTACAGAACCTACTCAAGTAAGTAGTCAGAACTAACCACAATTACAATACTACAATCAAAACCAAACTCAGTTTTTTTTATTGATCAACAACGATCGACAGTAGATCGTAGCAAAAACTTTTCCTTTTTCCAACAAAACAAAATTATAGCTAATAAACAATTCACAAAAAATCAATCACATCATTCAGAAGATGAAGGCTAATTCAATCAAAACCAACAACGATTCAACACTAATCATTGAATTAAAAACTGAAACTTTGATCAAATAGACCCTATTTATCAAACAGATAAATTTGAACATTATGCAAGAAGTGAACAAACACGACAAATAAGATAAATTTTTCCTCCAAGATAAAATTCAGCATCATATAATAAAAATGTC